TCAAGTTTGTTCAAACCATGACCCCCTGGGAGGTTAAAATTTCAAGCTCCCTTCCCCAACCTAGTAAACTTTCAGTTCTGATCTGATATGTGCTTTTTCCTAGCAAATTGCTCAGGTGAGCGATGTGGCCCATGGGCCTCTTGTTTTTCTTTGCGATCTACAGGCCTGTGATCCACACGTCGAATAAATTTATTTATTCTTTCAACTAATAAAATAATATGAATTTTAGTAGAGAACACTACTACTTATAAAACGAATTTATTACCACGCATTGTAACAACCTTCAATTTATTTCCGTGGTAAGGCGATTCGGTGTAAAATAACGAATTAAAAAATTAACACATTTACAAAGGTCTGTTGAGGTATTGCATGAATACAGTCATACTTTAAAATTTTAATTCAGTATTAGATCAGAATAGTCTTAACATGTTTTCGTGCATTTTTTTGAAAATACGTGTTACAAATGATATTTTTTGTATGTATGCTTTATTTGGAAAATTAATATACTTCGATTTTTATTCATCCATTAACGATTTGTCATCGTTTACAGATCTTGCTTGATGTATTTGTACATTTCCTTAAGTAAAATGAAAAAAAAACAATAATAATAAGGCTATTTGCCTGCAACTTTTTGTGCTGATTCTTTAGAAAAGCGTACAAAAAGGGTGACAAATTTCATTGTTTTACAATTTTCATCAAAGAATGGGTGGACTAAACTGGCCAGAAAAAATGCCATAAATTACGGGTGTAAATTTAAAACGCTTTTTTCGAGGTAAACTAAATAAATATCGAAGGCATGCTGCCTGAAGATTTCTTGAATATCAATAGATAATCAGGGTCATGCATTTTTCATAGTCTGAATATATAGTCAGCACATGTTTGTCGGCTGTTCTAAATCGGGTTTCCCTCTTAAAATAAAGTATTATTAGAAAACTGTAGTTGTATATTGAACAAAATAATGTTATATTAAAAGGAGAAGAGTGGACAAACTTTTCGCTTCCATTGTTATATTTTCGATTGACCTGTTTAATATTGCAATTCATCGTGATCTCCACCTGCGAGTGTACTCGTGAAGATCTAATTGCTACGATATTTACGATAATTATGAATAGTTTTTAAGACTTTGAAAGTGACAGGCAAGGATGAGTGTTTTACTGTCGAATTTATACCTGTCGACCGGTGAGATCTCTGCTTGTTTTGATATTTATTATGTCAGAAATTATGGAATTTTACAATGATCATTTATTATTACTAATGATATCGAGATCTACTAATTTTACATGTATGATGAACAGTAGGCCAGCAAACTGTACAGGTAATACTCATTGACTTCCTGTGTATACTGTTTGTGTATAGGGATTAGCGCTTCCCACGGTCTGCACGACCATCAATGCCACGCTTGTAAAATTTAGTCCCTCCCCTTACCTGAGAAAACCGTACGGTTAAAAATCTCGGCCTTTAATTTTCTTCAGACTTAAAACATCAGGTACAATGGGTTTCGGGTCTTTTAATATTTGAGGAGTGACAGGTGAAGTTCTGTAGTAAGTCTTTCAGTAACATGTTCAAACTCAAACAGAAATAAATACTTTTTCCTTATGTTACTGCTCAACTTGTTTTTCTGGCTTTAATGCTTGGATTTAGTACACGTACGTATGAAACAAGTGTAATCCTATAGGGTTTAGAACATGTTTTATTTGAGCATTTTAAACTTGGAATATATTCATATCTAAAAAGTAAACTTTATGAAAAACGTGATGGCACTTTAACTTTTCAATCGTAAACGTTCCTAACTTATGCAGGAACATACCCTCATCACCTGCATTTATGGTTTATATCTCTCGGTTGACTCAATATTCCAGAGCATGCTCAACGTATGAACAATTTCTATGACGAGATATGTTATTGACAAACAAGTTGATGAAACAAGAATACCAGCAGTCCCGTTTCAAGTCATAATTTTGTAAGCCCTATTGTCAATACAATGACCTTGTCAACAAACACAAATTATCATTAAGTCAAATGCTGACTGGTTTTTTTTCATGCTAATTGTTAGGCCATTATTCACACACTGAATTGTGTACATCTTTTTCCGTCAATTTCCGATAATGACAAGGAGCACTATATTAGCAAAAATAATTGGAAACTTAAAAGTAGATAAGTAAAAAATTCGAATTGAACAAAGAATGTGGCCGTGCCTATAAATAATATCAATGTAGGAATACGTTGATTGGAGGGTTTTGTGATTTTGGGTTATACGATTAACGGACAGTACTACGTTTAGGTGTAGGTGGCAAGAAAATATCTAGTAAGACAGCAGTAAAAAAGAATTTTTATACCCGAGACATCGAATATCCTCTGAGCAAAACCGTAACCCCTGCGTAGTAGAAGAAAATCTTTGGACTATATTTTCAATATTTTGAATTTCCGTTGTCACCTATTTTATAATACTTATCTTTTACTTCATTAGCTCTAATACTATACAAATATTTAAGAGAAATCATTTTGAAAAATTGTTAAGGTTTCCAAGGTCCTAGAAATACATTTCGACGAAATGCATTCAGTAATTTTAGAGTATAGTTCAATCATATGATTATATGCTAATAATCTCCTACCAAGAGTCTAATTCTTATAAAGTCCGGAAACTCAGTACGATGGATATAAACTGACTATTTGTATAATATTCATTTATGTTCCTCTGTTATTATGCAAGACCGAAGCCAAATCAATTGAGCTAGTTTTTTGATGGATTAAAATTAAAATAACAACAGTAGTGAAAGTGAAAAAATGTCATTTATTGAAGTAAATGACGCAAAACAAAATATAAACATATTATAAGGGGGTCAGACAAGACTAGAAAAAACTTTGAAAGAATACAAAAATCTTTGGTAACATATTATGCAATCTGACCCCCTAAAATTACATATATCATAAAGCAGGCACTGATATGCCTGTCATCAAAAAAGGGTGGGTTAAAAGAAAATAAACGCCAAACAAATAAATATGAACACTAATACAAGTACATATATAACAAATACAATATAAGACGGTGGAAGAAAGGGGGATGGATGGAGGGTTTTTCGATAAAAAATTTCCTTGTAAATTTGTGTGGCTTTCTCCTTTGGTAAAAAAATAAAACAATGGTCACGTGATTAGGAGAAGCCACGCTGATTGGCTGTAAATTAAGACAATGGTGTCATAGATTAAAATTAGGTAATTGATCCCGATCTAAATAGTTTTAAACATGAAACAACTTTACAACAATTACCAAATAAAACATGTTACCTCAGAAATAAATTATAACAAATAAAACATTTATAGTTAATGTAACTCTGTCACATAAAGGATATTATTGTTGTAATAATAATAACTTATTTATGTTCCTCTGTTATTATGCAAGACCGAAGTCAAGTCAATTGAGCTAGTTTTTTGATGGATTAAAATTAAAATAACAACAGTAGTGAAAGTGTAAAAATGTCATTTATTGAAGTAAATGACGCAAAACAAAATATAAACATATTATAAGGGGGTCAGACAAGACTAGAAAAACTTTGAAAGAATACAAAAATCTTTGGTAACATATTATGCAATCTGACCCCCTAAAATTACATATATCATAAAGCAGGCACTGATATGCCTGTTATCAAAAAAGGATGGGTTAAAAGAAAATAAACGCCAAAATCCAATTGCAAATTGGATCCAGCTGAGGACTCCTGTCCCCTCTTTGGAAGCATGGCTGTACACCTGAACAATAAAGCATAATGAAAGGAATTAAAAATTATTCAATGAAATATTTCTAAAATGTCCAAACAGCCCCAGCAGAACAACTTTATAAATTTCTATATACACATGTATATATCTAAATATAGAATTAGATACATGTGGCCATGGACACATTACAAATGTAAAAAATAAACAGCTTCAATGCTGCAAAATATTAATTTTGACTAATGAGAGGGTAAGGGATAAACATTATATAAATGTTATAATCATACCCAATAATATAAAAGCTGAAAATAGAACAACACCAAAGGAGAATTTAAAGCTAGTCTGACCCAATTTTAAGATATCATTTTTCAGCTAGTAAAACATAGTAGAAGATTACAAACTTATACAAAGTCAAGAAGCTATACTTCATAGAAATATTTAAGGTAGATGTTGCATGTGGTCCCGCAACAGTTGAATATGAATATATCCATACACAGAGATATAGTTCAGTAAACAGTAATGTCTTATGTGGATGATATACACGATTAAGACCAACATGAACAAATATTGAAATAAAGTGTGCTTGATCCTTCACAGAGGAAAAAGTGCACATGCAAATAAAATAGTTTATATCATATTATCATGTTGTTGCGTATGGCCAACATTAAACAATAACAAACAACCAATACATATGCAGTCATATATGATAATGCGTATGGTCCCGCAACATCACCACAGAATCAACTGCGAAATGGTGTACATGAAAACAGTTGTGTAATGTGTATGGTCCCACAATACAACAACCAAATAAGCATGTCTTTGGTGGTATGGTCCCGCACCAAAGGAAAATGCACATACAACGTACAATACACTCGTACAAGATGAAGCGTATGGTCCCGCAACATCCAAAGTAAGCATTTCGTAATGTGTATATGGTCCCACAATACAAAGAGAAGTTGCTTACAAAGTGTATATACAGGAGTAAATAAATGCCTACTCCAATCTAGTTTATCTATAAAGCTGAAATAAATTTGTTCATTTACTCCAAAAAACAAACTAACTGACTAATCATCATCATCTATCAGTTATATAAGGCACATACAGCAATAAAACTTAAAGTCTATGGCGTAAACAAATGCAATGCATGCATGCAATGACTTGTAAGTAAATCACCGAATATATGGGGGTGAATTCTTAATCAACAGGACATATCAAATAAATCACTGTTTATACTTAGTTATAAAATTTTGCTACGTATGTGTAAAGCAATTGAAACCAAGGTCAGACTAGCAAATTTAAGCAGAATGATACTGGCCTGAAATGTGCCTATGCTGTAAGATAGCTGAGCTAACACTTCGCCAAAACCGGTACATAGGAGAGGTGGACACAACATGGGATGACTGGGAGGGGCATCGGAGATGTACCCCGTCCTGGCATAAAAATGTCAAATCTGTCCAGAAGCCTCTATGAGGCCAGAAATGCACACCGGAAATGTTTGAGCACTGTTCTCGAAGCATGACATTGATGGCGATGATGCGATCGTTGAAGTCCGGTGACGATGCCCAAGGTTGGCGGCGCAGAAGCTGACCCACAATAACTGTTTGTATGCCTATTCCGGAATGTAGATACGATGCTAAAGATAGAATGTCACGTACAATCACTTCATTGGTATGCAAAAGAATGTCGTTTTCTCCTATCTGCATAAAACACACGTGCGGCAACATATCAAAAGTCAAGAAGTCTCTGGAACGAGCGATGCTCGAGGTCCGTAGACCACCACGGGCCCGCACTGATACACTATAAAAATCCTGATGCAACTTTAAGTTCATTAAATCTGGATGCAAGTCCATATATCGCCGTAAACGAGTTACAAAAGAATGTCCAAGTAAACAAATCCTGAGGAAATTTGGCTCTTCCATGTTGTGACACAAGTTCTTCCCAAACCGGTTCAAACCGGATCGCGCACCTTACGTAAACAAACAAAGTCACTTAATATCGAAACGTATCAAAACTCTTATCCCGTGGAGAAATGTCTAGCAAATCACACTGAAAACTAAGCACAGCGAAGGTAGAAAGGTGTAACCCTACCTAAGTTGCTTGAAACAAACTGGAAATATTGTTTTTTGATAAAAAAATTCCTTGTAAATTTGTGTGGCTTTCTCCTTTGGTAAAAAATAAAACAAAGGTCACGTGATTAGGAGAAGCCACGCTGATTGGCTGTAAATTAAGACATGGTGTCATAGATTAAAATTAGGTAATTGATCCCGATCTAAATAGTTTTAAACATGAAACAACTTTACAACAATTACCAAATAAAACATGTTACCTCAGAAATAAATTATAACAAATAAAACAATTATAGTTAATATAACTCTGTCACATAAAGGATATTATTATTGTAATAATAATAACTTATTTGTGTGAATCTATTTTTAGAAATATTTAGAATCCCTTTACCCCAACAAGATAACCAGATTTCAATCAATGCCATGTTTTAAGGCTATATGCTAATTTTTACGGGAAAAGTGTACTATGAAGTCACACTAAAATATGACTTTTATGAATTCCTCATAATACCGGAAATTAAATAATTTGCAACTTTAAAGTGGGACCATATACCTAATAAAAAATAATACAATGCATTTAATAATAGATAATATTTATGTCTGCATCAGCATAATAAACAACAATAAAACTTATCAATGCATTCAAAAAAGTTGCTAGTTAAATCCCATACAGCTGGTTATAAACAGATCACTGATTTCGATGAACTTGTCAACTATGACATCATATTGGTAAAATTGACGTAATTTATGTGCTGTGAGAGGCAGATTGAGGAATTTTTTAACAATGAAAAATGCGTTTTATTATTAAACAGAATGTTATTTACAGGTGTTAAATAGGCAATTAATACCAATTTATATCCTTTGTTCAGTGCCATTATTCATAAACTATAGGGAAAATGTATTTAAATAATTTTGTCGTTTTTTTATGTTCAGGTAAGGTATATTTTACATCGAGATGCCTCGTTAAATCGTTCTTTTACAAGGGAATACACTAAATAAATCTTTACCATTCTTTTGAATATAAATAAAGGATATGTTCCTTAACTTGAAAAGTGCTGCTGCTTTCTTTAAATAGAGAGGGAGACGTTATAAGTACACAAAATATTTGTTAAAAGTCAAAAAATTTTTGACATGGGCCTATTTATTTGAATCAACTTTTAAAACGCGAATTCTATTCAAAGCAGCAGCACTTTCCAGAAAGTACAAAGTATACAGAAACAAATAATAGCTTGAATTTTTAATTTAAAAATAGGGTATGCCCTTGCGATATTGAAATTTGTGAATGACCTACATTCAGTACACGTACTATGCATTTATCACGTGACTGTCCATCGATGGGACCAAACTTCATACAGTACAGAATAGGTTATACTATGCTATTTCCATAAATATTTAAGTTCCGTGATAATAAAATAGCTGAACAAAAATAAATTTAGTTTTAAAAACAATACCCGTTTTTAATTTCTGTTTTCCGTTGATTTCTATTAGTAGTCCTTAACAGTGCTGCGTGATACATGTATCAACGCCACATGTAAAAAAAAAAAAAAAAAAAAAAAAAAAAAAAAAACAGGGATAATTGCATTTTGCATTATTTCATTTTAAGTCGAGATCATCGCCGAATGTAATACCGCAATATGTCACAACATACTTTAAGAATTATTTCATTTTGCGTTTTAACAATTTGTGATTAATAAAAGCAAAAAGTTATAACGCAAAATATAATCGCACAATTTTTGGACTTTTAAGTTTTGCGTTGTTTTATTTTGCGTCGAGATTTAACAAAGGGTAAAAATGCAAGATTTCAGAAGTCACATTCTGGGCACTCAGGTTGAGAATAATTTTCAACTGAGTAGTTGATGAAGAAAAGAGAAAAAAGAGAAATAATCATTTTACGTTATATTGGCTTATTTATTTTCCCGGAGAACACGGGGTCCCGTGGACTGAAAGCTCACGCTTATGCGTAGAACTGGAACCTTGTAAGTATCTTTGAAGCCATGGTTCCCGTACACCGTGTAACATGGTGTATAGACGGTGCATCACAGTGTCCCATTACGAAAGGTCACACAAAATTAATAAGAAATATTTTCATTGTCTTTGTTTAAGAAATGATATCAACTTCCATACGAGTTGTAAGTGTATTTTCCTGTATATCACTATTTTTTCTAGCAAACACTGTTTACACAGTTATCAAAATATCTATGAAAGCAAACTAACACACAAACAAAAATGGCATTCATCCAGAAACTATTCTTTCTGTCTGATTATAATGCGTAAAACAATATAGTGTGATACACTGCTTATTAAAGTTCTCCTATTGTCGCTTGCAGAATCTACTTCGTGCTTCCGATCGAAACTTAACAGCATTGAATAATTTCAGCAACAGTATAGATACCTGAAATATCTATAGGACAGAGCAAACACACGGTAAAATGAAGCGGGTGTTTTCTTCACGCTTGAGTGAGAGTGATCGCCTGGTCGCTCTAGTGAACCAAGAGCGGACAACGAGCGAAAAACAACGAACACTGAGCGTGCCCAAAGCGGTCCCAGAACCAAAGGTTCACCTTTTGGGTTCGCTCTAGCATTATGTTGTGTCCGGTCTGTACTGAGATTAGAAGGACATAGCAAAAAAAAAAAAATCAAAACCGACTCAGGTGCAACAGTTCATATTAATATGTTTATACAACGTAATATTTTTTTTTGTACAGAATAAACTATAAAACATAGGGTTTATCCTCAAATAATTTATATATGTTTCTTCAAACAATATTCTGACCATGCAATGCAACCGCAAAACATTTCCTTTTTCTTTCGTTGGTCTAAAGAGAGAACAAAAGAAAATCCTCTGATATGAATGTTACAGGGTCACAAATCTTGTTATTTCCCCTTTTACATCTTTGATTTGCCAAAAAAGAAAAAAAAGAAGACACTCACAACACTCATTCAGAAGAGCAGACATACACAAACACGAAACATAAAGACACTCAACTTAATGAAAGTAATGATAATATATGAATATAAAATATCAATACGGCTGCCACAAGATCTTTACTAAATATATTTAAAATGTCAAGATTAATGTTCAACTTAACTTGCATCCAGTATTAAAGTTGTAAATAAAAAAAAATAAACATGGATTGAATCTAATGGCGAATATTAGAATCATTTTGTTACCGTAAAGGCAAAAAAAGTTTGGAATGGGGAATGTGGAGGGTTTCTTACCTGATGTAGTGCACAAGTTATTAAAAAAAACATGCATAGAAATTAGTGCAGGTAGAGTGAAATCATCGGTCCATGATTGGTCACTGGTCAGTCATAATTGTAAATGTGGAAATAGAAATCCACTAACAGAACACCCCCCCCCAAAAAAAAATCACACATATATAAAAATAATACAATCTAATTATATTTGTGACATGAACATCTATCATCCAATTACCAATTAAATTGTATTGTACGATATGACAATGGTTAGGAAAGACAAGGTTAGGTTTAGGTTTTAACTCCCTTCACCCTGTTCTGATATTAAAAATAGGAAACACATTTCACGGTTGATAGTTTGCAATGAAGAACATCAATGTTACTTGTTTTATAACCAGCATTTTTTTTTTTGTTTTAAAGCATTTATTGGGGCCAAAAGAGGGTGACAAAGTTAAATATTTTACCACATTTCCTCAAGTTTGAGGGAATAACCATATGTTCATTTTAATTTTTCCTTTGATAAAAATCATAAGCTGGCTAATCTCAGATTTTATTTACACAAGGTGTATTTCATACTGATCTATGAAATGTATAAATTTAGTACATACAGTCCCTAAAACGTTCTACTTTCCCATCTCAATGGTGAACACGCGCTTTACAAACGGTGAAGGAACGGTTAGTGAAGGATGTGTGAACACTGAACGCAACTTGATGAACGATGTGTGAACGGTAAGCAAACGCAGAATGCAAACGGAGCTGAAAGTGAACAGTGAACGGTGAACGAACGGTGGACGCAGGATGAACGATTTTTTTTTTCGGAATGCAAAACAATTTTTCTGCAATTACGTAAAGAATTAAACGTGCTATAAAACATGTGCAATTACGTGTACATGTAGGTGGCCTTTGCAGTTGAAACAAGAATTGTTTTCAGAATATGTTATCTTGGTGCTAAAATGAAGATGTAATATAAAGCGTTTGATTTTAAAGAATTTTAAGAATTTTATTGACGAAAAAAAGAGTATATTTTTTAACCAAGCCAGGTGGTATTGGTATATATAGCACCGATATATATATTATAGCACCTTTGGAGAAGGTTAACATTTTTGGTGAAGATTTTGGTGTATGTGTCATTTCCAAATAAGTATAATCCCCCTGTTGACCAAACTTGCATGGATGATATATCTTAGAATGCACACCATAGGGCTTGCTTCGGATGCTGAATTAGACCTTCAGTTTTCGGATGAGTGAGCAGGCAAATGTATTTGGTTCAGGTGTCATTTCCAAGTAACTGTGAACCCTATAATGACCAAACTTATATGGATGATGCATCTAGGAATCCATAAAACCAGGCTTTCTTTGTGTGCTGAATCTGACCTACCTTTTCCGTTTGAGTAAACAGGTTAAAGTTTTGGGTGCAGGTTTTAATTGTATAAAAGTAAACAGACAATTATTTTATGTCTCATTTTGCCTTCTTTCTTCACAATAAAAAAAGCTTAATTCTGTAATATATTTCATATAACATAACAGTTATTAACTGTGTTTTCGGGCAACTTTGATTATTGTCATTTGTAAGTAACTATGGACCCTAGTTTACTAAACTTGCATGGATGATAAATCTAAGAATGCACACTACCAGACGTGCTTCGACTGCTGAA